AGAGATTAGGCCTGTGAATCCTAGGTTTAATTTAGGAACAAATCCCACTGAATTTAATGTGACTGAAGCATTCAAATAAATTAAATTATTATTATTAATAATAATAATAATATAATAATAATAATATACGTTATTGTCATTGTACATAGTAAGTTGCAATCATTTCGGTGAACCATATTCATATAAGCAGTTCAAACAGGGAATGTTCAGGATGTGACAAGTCCTGCAAAATGTTCTTTGCTTTTTTCAAACATCGAGAACTATACAATCCCTCCAGGAATGGGAGAGGGCAGCCAATGATCTTCTGGGCTGTAATAACAACTCTCTGGAGTGCTTTCCTCTCCACAGCCGTACAACTGGCAAACCAGGCACAAACACAATATGTTAAAAAGCTCTCTATTGAGCAGCGATAGAAATTGTAGAATCATGGGGTAGTGGACTATATCCAGGCCCTGAACATCATTTACTTGGGCCTTGTACAAATCTATGTTTCCCCATCCATTTGTAACTCCCGTCATTACACAAATATTCTACTTCAGGCCCAACCTTCCTCCATGTGGTTGTTTGCCAGTTTTTTGGGGGGCTTTTTTCTGGTGGCTGCTCCCTCACTGACGAACAGTCTCCCAGATTATAGTATTTCCCAACTCGGAGCTGGCAACCCAACACTTGAAGGTTAATGTTTATTAACTAATTCAGCTGGCTAGTTGATTAAATTGTTGGTGTTTGCTGTATGATATCTTTTCCTCATGTATTATGTTGCGAAGACAGATTAATGGAGGAGAGGTCTATTAATGGCTACTAGGCATGGTGACTAAAGGGGACCTCCCCATTCAGAGGCAGCAAACCCCTGAATACCAAGTACTACTGTGTTTCCCCGAAAATAAGACACTGTCTTATATTTATTTTTTCTCAAGAAGACACACTAGGGCTTACACCACAAATGCATAGAAATCCTGCTAGGGCTTATTTTTGGGGTAGGTCTTAATTTCGGGGAAACAGGAGACAACATCCGGGTAGGCCTTGGCCTTTGTGTCCTTTCTGTTAGCCCTTGAAGGCAACTGGTTGGCTGCTGTGTGAAACAGAATGCTGGAATAGATGGGCCACATAAGAAGAGAAGCCAATGTTGGATCAGGCCAATGGGCCATCCAGTCCAACACTCTGTCACACAGTGGCCAAAAATACCAGGTGCCATCAGGAGGTCCAGTAGTGGGGCCAGGACATTAGAAACCCTTCCACTGTACCCCCCCCCCAACACCAAGAATACAGAGCATCATTTGCCCTAGCCTGAGAGTTCTTCTCTATACCTTGTGGCTAATAGCCACTGATGGACCTCTGCTCCATCTGTTTATCCAGTCTCCTCTTGAAGCGGTCCATGCTTGCAGCACTGGTCTGATCCAACAGGGTTCTGATGTTCTTATGCGGATCCGTGTTTGGCTTCTGTTCTGTGAGCCAACTGGGATCCCGATAAGGAGAAAGATTAGATAAAAGTATTTTTAAAGTATATTTTACTTTTAGAATGATCGCTCCATGCTTATTCATTGGTTGTAATATGGAGTTGGTATTACACTGTAGATGGTGTGAGTCTTTTTTGTCAGATTTGGACCTACAGAATTTTTATCGGAGAGCTAGAGACTCAGCAGTTTGAGACTTGTTTTGTAGCGTGCCTGAAGGTTCCAGCTGGTCATTATTCTTCATCCTCTTTCATCTCTGGGGGCTGGATGTCATCAATATGCAGATGACACCCAGCTCTGTGTTTCTTTTCCTAGGCTTCCAAATGCATTTCCCTTGGCTCTGAACCAGTGTTTTGAGACTGTGGCTAAGGCAGAACAAGCTGATGAAGTGGAATCCAGGCAGGAGAGAGGTAATGTTGGTCGGGACAGCTAGTGCTTTGGAGGAACTGGATCCACTTATTTGGATGGGGTGGATTTGACATTTGCAGAGGAGGGTGAGATCTCGATGCTGCTCAGGGACCAAGCCTTGCTGTTTGGAATGCCAGTTGGTGCTGTAGCCAAGAGTACTTTCTTTCAGCTGCATTTGGTTTGTCAACTCTGCCCCTTCCTAGACTCAGCCAACCTGGCCCAACTAATCCATGCTTTTGTCACCTCATGACTGGACTACTGCCACGTGCTCTACAATGGGCTGCCCTTGAAGAAAGCCTGGAAACTGCAAAAGGTTTTGAATGCAGCAGCTCAATTATTGTCAGAGGCCAACAGGAAGACACCTCACCAATTTTTAAACAACTACATTGGATGCTGGTTGTGACCTCTGAAGCTTTTTATTGCCTACCACTCACATATATGAAGGACCATCTCTTCCCATGTGTCCCCATGCGCCAGTTGCACTCCTTGGGTGGCAACCTGCTAATTTGGAGTCTAGTAGCACCTTAGAGACCAACCAGATTTCCCAAAAGGACTGAACAAAAGGAATAGAACAAATTTAGAGTCCAGTGGCACCTTTAAGACCGACGAAAGTTTATTCAAGGCATGAACTTTCATGTGCATGCACACTTTTTCAAATACAAACAAAAGGAATGTTTTGATAAGGACTGGGGTGGGGTTGCATGACAAAAAGGGAGGAGAGGCTCAACAAGGGGAGAGACAAAATCGGAGGGGCAGGCAAACAACCAGAAGACCTTGTTCAAATGACTTCACGCCTTGTCCGAGGAAGAGAGCTTTGACTCTCGGAAACTCATGCCCCAAAAATCTTGTTGGGCTCTAAGGTGCGCCTGTGGTCAAATCTCGCTGTTCGTCTGCAGACCAACATGGCTACCCTTTGAAACCTGCTGTTGGTTTTCCACGGAAGGTGGCCTGCTTGATCTTCACCACAGCACATTCCTTCTCTGCAGTGGCTCCCTCCTTAAGGAACAAGCTTCTTGAAGAGGGGAGGGGGCTGCCGTCCTTGGAAGTATTTGGAAGGTGCTGTAAAATAGGGCTTTTCATGGGATTTCAGCGGCAGGCATTTTCTTGGGGGTTATTACTGGGGTTTTATTGTGTTATGAATGGCCTTGTTTTAGAATTCTTACTTGTTATTCATTTCCTTTTCTATACTCTGCCTTTCTCCCCAAGAGGGACCCTTGGTTTGGTGTAGGGGTTAAGAATGTGGACTCTGAACTGGGAGGACCAGGTTTGATTCCCCACTCCTCCACGTGCAGCCAGCTGGGTGACCTTGGGCCAGTCATAAGTTCTCTCGGAGCTGTTCTCTCAAGGGCAGTTCTCTCAGACCTCTCTCAGCCCCACCTACCTCTCAGGCAATGTTCCCTCTAAGCTGTGGAGTCTTGTGAGCAAAAATTCTACTTTGTGAGCTACTGGCATTACAGTTGTGAGCGAGCAATTTGGCTACTGCATAAATTAGTTTGCTCTGGAGCCCTCCTTCCTGAGCAAAGACAAAAATGTGTGAGCTGGAGGCTAAAAAACTGTGAGCTAGCTCACACTAACTCAGCTTAGAAGGAACACTGCTCACAGGGTGTCTGTTGTGGGGAGAGGAAGGGAAAGGAGACTGTAAGCTGCTCTGAGACTCCGAGTGAAGGGCAGGGTGTAAATCCAATCTCCTCCTCCTCGCAACTTACATTATTCTTCTCTCCTCCATTTTATCCTCTCAAGAACTCTGCAAGGTAGGTGAGGCTGAGAGTGTGTGACTGGCTCAAGGTCACCCAGTGAGCTTCCATGGTACAGTGGGGATTCAAACCTGGGTCTCCCAGATCCTAGGCCGGTACGCTAACTACCACACCACACTGCATAGTATGTCTTGAGCCACACGGGAAAGGTGGAACATATTTTAATGACTAAAGAGAGCATATCTTGGTAACGGGGTGCCGCTTGAGGAAGGCTCCCTTGGACTCCACAGCCTCTAAACTGTACTCACACTTCGGCCCTGCTTTACTGCTTGATGTTACAGATGTTAGGGATGCCACTTTTGACTGCTCTAAGTAAAAAAAGAAAAAGATAGCATTTTCAGCGTGATTTTTTTTTTCATGTTAAATAATAAAGTTTTATTGATATTTTAAGCACAAAACAACAATTCCAATAGAAAAGTCAGAATACAAGCGAAACAGGTCGTGATAGATAATGGCCCACATCAATGCCTCTGCTAAGCTGTGAGCAAAAATTCGACTTTCTGGGCTACTGGCATTAAAGCTGTGAGCAGGTGATCTGGCTACTGCATATTTGCTTTGGAGCAATCCTTCCTGAGCGAATACAAAAATGTGTGAAAAACTGTGAGCTAGCTGACACTAACACAGCTTAGAGGGAACACTGGCCCACATGATCTCAGATCTGTCTACTCTGTGGCTTTCCCAGCTAAAGACCCGATCTCCCCCACCACCTCAGGTTGCCAACTCCAGACTGGGAGATTCCTGATGATTTGGGGGTGGACATTGCAGAGGGTGACACTGGGAGAGGGACCTCAGCGGTACAGTCCACCTTCCATAGCAGCCCTTTGTCCTATGGGAACTGATTTCCATTTGGAGATCAGCTGTAATTCCAGGAGATCTCCAGGTCTTACCTGGAGGCTGGCAACCCCACCTGTTAACCTCGCCGTTTTGAATCAGCGATGCCAGGAATTCAACCTGTGACCACTTCTCCGTGCAAAACGCAGTCCAGCCTTTTCCTTTCAGCACTAGTCTTCTAGTTGCAAGGAAATCTACGAGTAAGAACCCCCCCGCCCTTAAATCTTGATATGGTACTGTCCATACTCCATTCTATCCCCTCAAAACTCCACCGCTGGTATCTGCCCGCCCACCGTGGACCAGAATGTCCCATAAGCTGAGGAGGGTGGCTACCGAGCTCTTCGTCTTACGTTCCGAAGACCAACGCGCAGAAAAGGGCGCACAGGGAGCTAGCGGGCCAGTCCTCGACCGGCGCATGCGCCTTGGCGCGCGCGCGCGAGCTCCCCGCCGCCCTTTCCTGTGGCTCTCTCTCTCCCCCTCCACCCTCCCCTCCCTTCTGACAGCGGTGACATCATAGCCTTGGCCGCGCGGGGTATTGTGGGCCGGGAGGGGCCGCCATTTTCGGTGAGGAGAGCGCGAGCGAGAGGCGGGGCCACGGCCGCTCAGTCAGCGCTGAGGGAAGCCGGGGAAGGATTTTTCCCCCCCCTCCTACCTCTTCTCGGCTGTGGCGGCGGCCGTAGTAATAGCGGCGGTGGCGAGGCCAGCCCCCGCTCCGCGACTGACAGCCGGCTCTCCCGGCCACGGCGGAGTGGTCATAGCCGGGGTGAGTGCTGGCACGTCGGGGCCCCCCTTCCCTCCCCTCCCTGACTGACAGCCGGTCCGTCCGTCCCCCCTCCCCCTCAGCGAAGCCGCCCATCTCTCCTAGAGCATCGTCTCCCCCGCCGGGCTCCCCTGTGGGTGCGCTCGAGCGTGGCCTGCTGGAGACGAGGGGAGGGTGGGCAGAGCCCCCAGGGGGCGGGCGGGCTGTGAGCAAGGGCGCCCCCCGATGGGGAGGGGGCTCTGGGGAGCAGCGCAGGCTCTGAAGGGGGGGAGGGGCTAGCGCGTGGATGGGGAGGAGGGGGTCACTGTGGGCTAAGGGTGGGGAGAGGGTGGGTGTGACAGTGTGGTCGGAGGGCTGCGGGGGTGGGCAGCTGCGGGGGGGGACCGTATGCAAAGGCGCCCCCTATGGGGAGGGTGTGCAGTGCAGGCTCTGAGCCGGGGGGGGGGGGGACATGCATCCAGTTAGAGGCGAGG